ACGCAGGTGTGCTCCCTGCGAGAGGATGTTGGGCTCTGCTGGAAAAGGTTGGTGTTTGTTTGTCCCTTTGCTTTTAGGGGTTGGATACGGGGTTGGTGCTAGGGCAGTACATGTCACACTGCCATGGAAAGAGCCAGTTTTGGACAGATCACAAATTTCTGTGTCTCAGCTGGTAAATGGGAGTTTCCCTGGATCCACGCGCAGCACCTGGCCCTTCCCTGGCTGTGGGACTGCTGCTCTCCCAGAGTGTCACTGCTCTTTGCTTGTGCACAGTCCAACCAGCTGACAAAGGGAAGGTTTATTGCTTTTATTAATATCCTCCTTAGATTTTTGGCAGGTGATCAGAGCTGTCCTCTCTCCAAGGGGTTGGCAGAGCCCTTATCTGTGCCCCATGTGAAGGTGGGCATTGCCTGTCTCCCTGCTGGCTTACACCAGCTTTCCTGGCCCTGCAAACCCCATCTCGCAGGTGAAGGTACCAGGGGTTGCAGCTGTTGGGAAGAGCCTTTTTGCACCTAAACACTGTTAAGCAGTTCTGTGGTAAACTAGATGTTGGGCAGAGAAGGCTGATGGATCAAGGCTCCCTGAGTAACAGTGGGAAGGACCAAACAACAATCTTAGTTCCTCTGGAAGACAGACCATGGCTGTGACGCAGGTCTGCAAAATGAGTAACACGGAGAGGTGGATGCAGAGTAATTCTTACTGGGTTTTCCAATAAAATGTTGGGTGATATCAATGAAGTGAGCAAGTGGCAGGTCGAAACAAAACAAGGGCAGATACTTTCTCAATTGAACCATAGCGAGGCTGTGAGGCTTTGAGGATATTGCAAATGCTTAAAATTAATGTGGGTTCAGAAAGTAATTAGAAAACTCTGTGAAATGCAGACATTGCTCCCGTTTTGGGGAGCCCTACCCTGTGCCTTACAGGATGGCTCACTGTACCCTCTCTAGCTGTGTGCTGTTAGCCCTTGTTGAAGGTAAACAAGTGTGTTACAGAGACCTTCAGTCTAGCCATGTCTGCCTTTCCTGTATTTTTAAACTGGATGCTGAAAATCTGTTAGGTAAGATGTGCACATCCCAGTGTGATGTTTTAACAGAACAGGCCTCACTTCTCCTCCCATGCTTGGGCTCTGGGTTTGACAAACTGCGCAGCAGCGTAACACACTCACGGATCTTGAGTGGTGACCAGAAAGTTTGCTGCTTCTTGAGGTGGCAGCCACAAGAAATCAAAAGCTATCACAGTAAGAGATGCAGGCAGTTATTTCAGATGATAGGTCATGCTTCTGCTTGTCCCCACACCCCCTCCACACCCAGCATTTGTCAACACGGCTGGGTGTGTGAGTTGATCTTTGTGATATTCTCTTCCCCAGAAAAGCAGTTAGAGGGAATGTCATGGTTTAACCCCAGCCAGCAACTCAGCCCCACACAGCTGCTCGCTCACTCCTCCACAGTGGGATGTGGGAGATCATCAGAAGGGGAAAAATGAGAAAACTCACGGGTTGAGTCGAAGACAGTTCAATAGGTAAAGCAAAAACAGCACACGTAAGCAAAGCAAAACAAGGAATTCATCCCCCACTTCCCATGGGCAGGCAGGTGTTCAGCCATCCCCAGGAAAGCAGGGCTCCATCACATGTAACGGTGACTTGGGAAGACAAACATCATCACTCTGAATGTCCATCCCTTCCTCCTGCTTCCCCAGCTTGACATGCTGAGCATGATGCCATATGGTTGGGATATCCCTTTGGTCAGCTGGGGTCAAAACCCCAAATTACATCAGTGGGCTAGTAAAGGTGCTTGCACTTAAGAGGTCAAACCATAAGGGTGAAACCTGTCCCAGCTCTGTCGATGGCTCCCATCGTTGCCCTGCAGACTTGCACGGCTTCTGCGTTTCCCTTCCCTGCTGTTAGCAGGGGCACTGAGGCAAGGGCTGGGCAGGACACACACAAAGTGGCACCCTCTGTCTGAGACCCACAGGGGCTTTGGCTTTCTTACTGGTCTGTTGGTGTAGGTGTTTGTACTGTATCATCCCTGTGCTCACCAAACTGTTCGTTAACGAGGCTTTGAGAGAGGATTACATGCGATCTAACGAAGCAAATCAAGGCTTTGTGGTGCTGCTTAAGGAGTGGAAGCCTGAGCTCTAGGATTAAGCAGTCTGGAGGAGCGGGCGATGGTTAGGTGTGGCGCAGTGTGCCTGCCTGATAACACGCTGTGCATGTCAGTTTGTATTTATCCGTAATCTGGTGCTCTTGCAGACCCAAGTGAACGATACCATGCCTCCCCTTACCGCTGTGTACCGGAGAGGTTAACGGCAGGGTTCTCTGCAAGGCTTGAAGACGCGCAGCATGGAGCACCCATTAGAGGCGGCAGTGGCTCAAGTCGCAGTGGGGACAGCCCAGCCCCATGGCCATGCCATGGCTGGAGGTCATTTCCCAGCCGTGCTTACTCCTGCAGCCCCAGACCAACAGCCTTGCAGCTCCTGAGACTGCCAGCACAGCATCCAGGTGGAGCAGTCTCCAGGACCGGCTCACTTTCCCACAGCCACTGCATTAAGTGGTTTGATTTTTAACTATTTAAAACAAAAGAAGGAGTTGGCTGTTTGGTTTCTATTAACCTTTTCCGTCCAATATAGCTATTCCAGTAAGAGAAAACATTCTCAGGGGAAAAAAGGCTATTTACAAAGAAGTAGGCTTTATTCTTTGTCTAATTGACTACCATACTGATGAATAAATATGAGTCTTGGCTGAAAATGTTTTCTGAAGTACTTTCAGCCCACATGTCATGGGTTTGTTAAAAATAAATAAAAGCCCTAGAGAAGCAAATACTGTGAAAACTGTGTCCCTAGATACTTCTTTAAAAATAAAATCTGTCCCAGCAATTTCTGTAAATGTCTTTGTAGAAGTAGGATTGTGCCTGAGAGCCAGAGAAAGTAGATGGTTGGAACCAAGCTATGCCAACCTGGGTGAAATGTAGGTTTAAACAGTAGAGATTCATCAGGGCTTTTTATTACTGTTTCTGTTTTAATTATTTAGAGTGGTATCGATAATTTCTCAGATGATAAAGGCTGTAATTGTAGTCTGACAAGCACAGCCATACTTGCCTCAAAGAAATATGAACTGTTTCCTTCCCTCCAAAATTTTTTTGTCAGATAATTGCAGAGCTTTTATGACAATACCCATTCCTTTTACGAGCCTTTTAATGTCTTGCAGCATTTCTTTGTAAGCATTAAGGTCAGATGCTTATTCTTTCTTCTAACATGCAGTTACACCATTATGAAAAAGGCAAATGTTTGTGAATGTACCAGTCATCCATAAAATAATGTAAATCTGTGAAATGATGTCAAATGAGCCAAATTCAGCTGAAATACTTGTGCTTGATTTTGGATATGCCTGTTGAAGGAAGAGGTGCACCATGGGTGTAGGAAACAGGCCAAAGAAGAGTGACAAAAATTATAAAACCCCCAGCTCTGAGGGACCTGAGGTTGGTTAACGTGGAGGCGGAGGTGGAAAATCCTGCGAAGGGAGCACGCCCATGGCAGATAGGATGGGCTGCCATCTGTCAGGGAGGTCTGGGGAAGGCAATAGGAAGATGTTGCTTGCTCTGGGTTAGCCAAGCACTGAAATAAGTGGCCAGGAGGGGCTGCAGATACCATCCCAGATGGACTAGACAGACAGAGACTAGGGGTGATACAGGCTGTGAGGTTAGGGAATGCGCCTGATGACCTTCAGATCATGTTTGCCATGAAAGCTGGGATTTATTCATTTTTGATGACCTGACTCCCAAGGCTATGGCTTTGGGAGAAAAAGCCAAGTATGATGAAACCCACAGTCACCTGACAGGCTTGGGAAGAGTGGAAAAATCCCATCTGGGGAGCTGGAAACTGCCTACATGTACACGAACAGAAGTGCTCCCTCGGAGGTGTGCCTTACTGCCCTCAAGTTGGCCAGGAGGGAGGGAAAGGAATAAAGTAGCAAAGCAATGCATGATTTACTCTTCCTCCACGCCCTGCAGCCTCTGGCCATTTTTGGTGTCTGTTGAAACACTGTGATCTGCACCCATACTGTTTGACTAGCAGGTATCAGTGCAGTGTAAAGCAAAGCACACGCGTATCAGAAAAGGAGCAGCCTCTGGTATTTTATAGCACAACATGCAGCAGTAAACGTGCGGGTTGCTGTTCAGTCATTTCCCCATCACTTTACAAAGGTTGGCTGCTTAACCTCGGTCTCATTTAGGACAGAAAGAATTGAGGAAAAGAAGAATGGAGGTAAAAAGCAAGCAAGCAATTTGGTAATTTATATGCGTATTTTGCTTGTAGCATGCCGAGTCAACTGTTTACCTGTTAGCAGGAAAGCAGCTAAAATAAAATATTGTCTTGGCTAGGTTAATACCACGTGAGGAGCTGTAGGACGGGGAGGAAAGTAGGGCAGCTTGTTTTGGAACTTGTGCTGAAGAACAAATAAAAACCCCCAATGTACACATTCGGTTGCCATATGTCGCGCTTATCATAAAAGGCATCTCGGTGTTCTTTCTTTGCAGGGATGCTTGAGCAGAGCAGAGGCAGACTTCCCCGCTGAAGGAAGCGCATGCCAGAGGTGCTGGGGTTGCCGTTGGTGAGCCGAGCTTTCGTGCCTGCTGAGGTAGCTAAGGCGGGCGGCGAGCTCTCTCTTTCCCGTGCTTGCTGGTTTGATTGACGTTGGCTTCCAAATCGCTGCAACTGTGCCTGAAGGAGAGCGAAGGAGCGTAATTTTGCTGAGAGAATTTTCCTGGCAGGAGAAGGCATGCAGTGCAGAGAAAGGCACCAGCAAAGAGCTTGGAAGTGCAAGTCCAGGTGCTAACGCAACTTCCGCCCAAGCTGTGCTGTTGTAAAGTCCTTTCTCTCCGTCCGCGTCTTCCTCAGTGCAGCGGGACGCAAGGGCTGCCCATGGCATTGCGGCAGCCTGGGCTGGATTAGTTCTGGGTGTGTCATTGCTTCAGCTGCTCGAAGAACTGAAGAAGATTGCAGGGAAGATGTTGGACTTGAGCTTCCTGACCGAGGAGGAGTACGAGAAGCTGATGAAGGTTCTGCAGAGAGACGCAGAGCTGAAGAAGAAGGATGGGGATCGCATCAGGTGAGTGTGCGATAACCAGGACGTGAGCTTCCCCTGGAGGAATTTTTTTACTTATTTTAGAGAGGAGTGTATGTGTATGTATGAGTGCAACAAAGAGAGATGCAGTGCTGTCCCTTCTTGCTCAGATCCTGACAGATCTTTTCGTTGCACCTCCTGCATTCCTAGCCATCCTAATGTCCTCTCTGCAGGATTGCAGGGCTGGACTCTCCTTTTGAGTCAATCAGCACCCCTCAGAGGTGCCAAGGGAAATCATCCATTTCCTGCTCTGGGGGGATGCTGATTTCTTGCTGTCCAAGGTCCGAGCAGGGGAGTAGCTGCTACCTTCTTTTCCTTGCTCAGTAGCACAGAAATCCTGTAGAGTGTTTAAGGGACTTTACTTCCCTATCTCTGCTTTGTGTCCCTCCAGTGCTCTTTGAGGTAGGTGCGCATGCAGTATCCATCATGCAGGCAGAGAGGGGCAGTGAGAGGCTACATGATCTGCCAGAGGTTTGCAGGGAGCCATTGCAGAGCCAGCAATCAGTTCAGCTCATTTGCCACCGGCCATCCTGGAGTTCAGGTCTGGTTGGTCGGGATTGCTTGTTGCTGCTGTCACTTTTCAAATGCCAGCCGTTAGACCATCTGGGTTGACAGTATGCACCAGGCTCAGGAAACTGGCACCAAGCTCCATGGCAAGAAATAACTAGTGCAGTGAGTGTGGATGGCACTGTGCCAGTTTACCCCATTAAGAATGTGAGTTGCTGTTGAGCCAAAAAAAGAGTAAGCCCCATGTAGGAGGGATGCTCAGGCCTTGAAGGGGGAGTGGGGAGCTTTGCAGCAGGCTCTGGGGAGCCTACATGCCCTGGCCTCTGCTTGGGGGTCAGAGCTGAGGAAACGGAACAGCTTGGACTTGAGGTGTGTGCCTGCATGCTCTTTATCTCCCCGGAACTGAAACAACGTTTCAAAATGGTTTTCTCTTTTTTTAATTCTTTTCTGAAATGCAGTAAAATTTCTGCTCTGCAGTGGAGGTTTGGGGAAAAGAATATTCCTATTATTTCAGTTTTGTTTCACTTTCCTTTGGAAGCTGTTTGCACAAACAGCTTTCATTTGGGAGCAAAATGAGTTAGATCCTGACCAGGGGGTGCCAAGGGGCTCTTGCTGTTGGTACAGCTCTGTGCAGTGAGACCTTTGGAGCAAGTGTGGACGTGTTTGGCTCCAACACAACCCGCCTGCTGGACGAGATGAAGTCAATGGCATTACACTGGTCTGGTGTCCACAAGATTAAAATACATTCCTGCATCTCCTCTGGCCCAGCACCTTGAGACCTGATGGGGCAGACGCAGCCCTGACCTGGATGGGAGCTGTGCAGCTCCCTGGCTCTCAGTCCCGCTGGGACCCCAGTGCTGCATAGCCTTCAGCCCGGTTATCCCGTACCTGCTCCCACCAGGCACGCTGGCCTTTCGGCAGCCAAATGTAACCCTTCAAGGATCCACGTTTGTCTGTTTTTTTTTTGCTGAGAATTGGACTGAGTGGGAGTTTCCTCTGGCCTCTTGGGTCTCGCAGGGACCCTGAATTGTGGTGAGCTGTGGGTGGCACTGTTGGCTGAAAGGCAGCTAATTCAGCAAGCTGTGGTGTGAAAACAGAATGAATACCCAGAGGAGAATTAAAAGTACAGGCTAGCAAACAGAGCACTGACGGGTTTAGGTGCCAAAAAACCAGCCCTGGGTGTGCCCGTGCGAGTTACAGTAGGAGAAGCTGTGCTCAGGAAGGAGAGCTAACTGTTTGGGTGCCAAAAGCAGCATGGCAAGGAGGAGCAGGGAGAGGAGTGGTGTCTGGGGAGAAAGGTGCAGGGACAGGTTGCTCCCCTAAATAACATGATTTATTTACATGCTTTGGATGAGATTTGATACAGAAAGCTTTGCCACTCAGATTAATAGACAAATCAAACGGAGAAGTGCAAGACCTGCAAACAGCCCCACCCTTTCCCAAACCCTCAGGGCTGCAAAGCAAATGGATGCATCTCCTTGCCAGGTGGCTCTGCTTTGGATTTGTAAAATTTGGAAGAAATGGAAGCCTGTGTTTGCAAAGTGCTGTTCCCATTTCAGATAAAGAATAAATGAGCTTTTTGTTTTAATGCTGGTTTGGCCCTTGTGATTGCAGAGAATAATGTCTAGATCCTCCTTAGTATCAGGCAGGTGAACCGTACGGCCAGTTGTTATGAAGGTGGCTCAGGGGAAGACAGAACCTTGGAGATCTTTTTGGTGGGTAATGTTCTCATTGACTTTCAGGCGGATACAAGGCTCCATCAAGGATGAAAAGAAGAAGAAGTTTGTGACAGGTGAATGGTTTTCAGAAGTGAAGGCAAAACGGTTTCAGGAAGACTTAGAGGGGCCGGATCTACTTCGAGCATCGATTAGGAGGAAAAAGGGCAAACTAGAAAGTAAGTATGTTAGTGTAAGAGAACAAATAGATGGTCCAGGCAAAGGTGGTCAATATGCAGGTCTCCCTGTACTAGAAGCCTGCTGTGGACCAACCTTTGTGTTGTGATAAGATGGTTCTCAGCTAAGCTTTAAGTACTAGAAAAAAAAAATGCCAGATTGTCAAAGTCAGGGTCCAGAGGAAAAGTGACAGTGTGCTAGAGGACCAAGGCAAAAGCTGTTTACCAGCTACGTGTAGCAACTGCCTTTTCCCCACTTCAGTTTCTTTCTTCCCAAATGTCTGTTTGTCAGAGATCACTATCATTTCTTGTCATAGAAGCAAAAAGGAAGGGGGTTTCTGGCATCAAACTGATACGTGTGGGTCAAACACCACCCCCCAAAAGCAGATCAGTCACATCTTGGCAAAGGGAGGGAGTGCCTCTCTTCTGGTAAATATGTGCCCACTTGAGAGGGTCCATGCCTAGCTTTTTTCATGGGAATAATTCTGAGGCACAGTGTGGTTCTCAAATTAAAAAGGGCTTTGGGGCCAAGTCTGAATCGTACCCAGGCTGCTGTGCCATGGCAAGGGTATATCTGGGACCATGTGCTAATTCAAAGCAGCTGTATTGTGTGTTGTTTGATGTGCAGATGAACTCTAACGGTGGTATGTAAACCAGATCAAATCAGATTTGTCAGATCAGGGTAGAGAAGAGATCAGCCCCATGTGAAACGAGCAGGATTGTGCTTTGAGTCCAAATATAACCAGCCTGGATCTGGCATTTCGTGCTGAACATTTGCGCAAAGCAGAACTGGGGATGATTCACATCCAGTCCTCAACACAAAGACAAGCCAGCTGACTCCGCAGCAGGGCTGTGGGACTGCAGCCCAGGCGCACACGACCTCCTCGATCGTTTGGCAGCGTGGGTAATCACAGATACTCGGACATGGCTGCTGCTGCTCCAAGGGAGCCGTGGCCCTCATAGACAGCTCTAAGCAGTCTATTGCAGTCCCAGATATAAGGACCCTATAATTGTGCTCTGTTCTTTTGCAGTGAAGGCTACTGCTGGATAAAGGGTTATGTTCCATCTGTGCAAAACCCAAACGTCATCTCCACCAGTTCAGTTCAGCCCTGTTTCCTGGGCCCAGCTGCCCATTCCAGCTCTGGGGTAGCAGCAATATAGATCACTCCTTTATTAGGTGGGCCTTGTAGGCCAGGGTACCTCTGTAACATTAATTGCCAGGGTTTAGCATACCCCTCTTAGCTCCACATCACTTAGACACATTCTCAAAGCGAAACTCTGGCTAGGGACTTCACTAACTGAGAGTCTCTTTTCTTTCCTCTTTACTTATCCCTGACAGCTCTCATAACTTAGCATAGATTTATTAGAGCCTCTGATGCAGAACCACCCCATCATATTTCATATGAAGTTGCTTTTATCCTTGGTATTAAGGATTCATGATGTCATTAAATTTACTATGTTATCATCCCTCCAGAATGCTAAAACATATAAAACCCTTTCCAGCTCGACAGAGTTGCCTTTCAGTGCTTCAGCAGCCCCTCTGCTAGGGCCCTGGTCAGACAATACTCCATCATGGGCAGCCCAGCTAGCGGCCAGCAATGCACAGGATTCCCGTGCCTTTTGCCTTGCCAGAGGCATCAGCACTCTTACCTTGCAGCCCATTTCGGGAAAGGAAGGTTTGAAGTTCTGTTGGGTTTAGATGTAACTTTCAGTGCTGATGTGCACGTGTGTGACATGGTCTCGGGTTATCATGTGAAATAATCTCATTAGGGTAGCAGCAATATGCATGTCCTTGCATGTGCATCACTTGACTAATGCTGTTTTAAGACGGAAGAAGCAAATGTTACTCAATTACTGTAGTGGGGTTTTTTAGATTTAGCCCTCTTTATTTCTTTTTCAACTTCTTTTCTTCCCTTCCTTTATTTTTTCGATTCTCACGGTAAAGCACAGGTATAACATGTGACTTTATTCCTTCCTCTTACTTTTCCCACTGCCATTTTACAGCGCTGGTTGAGGATCAAGATTCTGCAGTTAATATTTTCACTGTGCTGTTGCCTGTTGCGTGCTCAGCTCCTGCAGTGGTTACTGTACAGGTTGCCTCCCTTCACACATGAGGGCAAGTGCTTCTCTCCCAGACTTAGCAAGAATATTGCACCGGTGAGAGCAGCGCTTGGCCCATCGGGGAACGAGGATGAGGTGCCTTTACAAACGCTTTGCCCATGCAGCTCGCATTCGGTCTGCAGTAGATGCGATAAAGGGCCTTTGCTTGCCATCTTTCCACCTTTTTTCCTTCTGGAAAGATCAGAGTCATTCACCTTCTGTCAGCTTTCAAGGTGATGAAGGAGTGTGTGTTCGTTTAGCCAAACCAATGTAACATGTTCATGACTCCAGGGCTGTTAATCCTGATTTAAGTCTTCGATGACTGTGTTAGGGAGTGCAATGAGAAAATTCCTGCACGGAAAAGCCCTGCTGAGATAATTGCTGGCATTCCCTTTGCATGGTAAATGGGCTGAGGAAAGGTGGAAATTCATGCCTACACAGGAAAATGCCCAGTGACCTTTTCTGGAAGAGGGTTGTGTGGATCCCTAAGGGTCTTCACAGTGGGTATTGATTATCATAGAAAACACTGATAATTGGCAGTAATACAGACCTGTAAAATACGTAGATAACTGTATATTTAAACTGCAGCCTGCAGAGCAGCACAGATGGATGAATTCAGTGATAACTTCTCCTTCAGCTTGTATGCAAAGGATGAGAGCTAAAAACTGTCTAGGAGACAGACTATTTTATCCACCCGCTGAGGCATGTCAGCCCCAATGCTCGGTTATCCGTGCTATCCCCAAGCTTCGAGTGTCTGTGTTTCAGAGTGATAGGAAATGAGTAAAGCAGCTAAAAGGTTAGGGCAGGAGTGGCTCTATACATCTGTATATAAATATATGTATGGACAAGTTAAACTGGTCAGGCTGCTAGTGATTTCTGTTGGAATTTGCTTCTTATTCTGTGTCATGCTAAAGTTAGCAAGGGCATTCTGCTTCTCTTGCTGGACTGTAATGTGCTAATAACCTATTTGTTTGTGGTTATAGGGGGCAGGTATAGCTGTGTCAGTGGCTGAGCCGTTTTGAAGGGCAGTGATTTGGATGGGAGGAAGCAAACATCTCCCGCTGCCTCTGCCAGCCGGGAGCGGGGAGCTCTGAGGGGGAAGTGTCAGTGAAAAGCAAATACGATGCAGTGTCTTTGGAAGTGAGGTGAGAAATGAATGCAGCGATGGGTTGTCAAGGTCTTTTCAACCATGACAGGCAGAGGGAAAACGTGGGAGCTCTGTGTTCGATTCCTCTCCTTCCACAGCAGCTACCTGCTGGCATCTCCCTCCCTCGTGTCTGGGGGAGAAGAGGAGGATGTGGCTCACTGTATAAACAAACGCTCCTCAGCATGCCTTCCCAAGCCTGCACGTGACATGGCCTGCACGTGCCACCAGCCCTGCCACAGCTTGTCTTTCCCAAAACGATGTTCAGTGATGTTTTTTGCACATCAGCTTTTACGTGGACAAAACGCAGTCCCTCTCTGAAAAACGTGCTCTCTAAAAGGGACTTGTTCTTATATTTTTTTTAGGAATGACTCCCTGACTTCCCACTGCTGTGGAAACCATGGGGCCACCCAGCTGCCATCTCATCCATGTGCCAGACGTGGTCCTAACGCAGATGGCCCCCAGCAACACCTGCCATGGTCCCCTTCACTGCAGGGCCAGGCGTTGGGCAGCAAGGAAGAGCTGGGAATGCAGCACTTTTCTCCATGGGGATGCACGAGCTTCATCTTGAGATATCCCTTCCTCTGTGGGCTGACTGCTGATGCTGGATGGCAGCACACGGGCAGCACCAGCGTGACATTGATACCACAGCCCGTCCGTCGGACTGATGCGCTCTTGGGCTCAGTGCAGTTTTCTAACCAGATAACAGACAGGGCTGTATTGTTTAATGTCACATCTGAACCCTCTGAGTCTCTGATTCTATTGTATTGTGTAATGAAATAGATCCTAAAGAGATTTGGCAGTTGTAACAGGTAGATTTACTCTTCACAATAGACCTAGCTGCATGTGAAGAAATATGTGCAGGTGTTGTTGCCCAGACTAGTTTTCCATTGCTGTTTGAGAGTTTAATCCTTTTGGGTTTGCAGTAGCAAGAAAGCCTGTTTGCCAGCAAAATGTCTAATGCAGCTTCATACCCTGGCAGGCTGCTCTGAAGGTTACCGGCCTCTATTGTTTTTTCTTTAGAGTCTTTGAGAGCTTAGAAGACACAGCTGAGCCTTGTGCCAGTAAAAATAACAGGGATCTCCTCATTAACTGTGTTGGCCTCCTCCTTTGTTTGCCAAGATCGGATGACTTTGAGTCAAAACAGGAAATGGCTGAATTTAAATCCTGGTACGGATTGACTTTATTGATATGCAGGGACAGCTCCTAGTGTTAGGCAGCTTTGGCCTCTCCAGCCCTTGGGTCTGGAGGTGCTTTTGCGGTGTAGGGAGTGTGGGTGATGCTCCCACAGGGCCTCCATCCGTGGGGAGAGCAGGCAGACCCCCTTCAGCCATCTCCTGTTAAATCCCCAGGGTTTGTGCTGGTGGGACTTATTTAACAAGCCTTTTCTTTCCCCAAATAAAACACCACCGACCATTACAAGTTTAAATAAACATCACTTCTTAATTGTCTGTGTGATATTACAGATGAGGCCAACGAGCACATCTGCACAGGTCTGGAAAGCAAAGCTGCCCCGAGTCCTGTATTCCCTGAGCACGCTGCTGGCGCTGGAGAGGAGAGGTAACACTGCTGCTCGTGCAATGCTCTGGCTGCTGCTCTTACCCCTAATGAAAATTGAATGCTACCCATTAAATCCTGGTCTTTAACTGCGTTTCCAGGACTGTATAAGTAGTAGGTTATATAGGATATTTTTAAAATCCTTTTTCCAGGAATTGTCAGAATATCAATCCTCCCCTAGTAACTAAGTGCTAATGTGCTTATCCCAGAAAGGTCTTTTCCTGCATGATTTGATAAGGGGTCAGTAAAATGGAAGCTGTCTCTAATGTCAGGATATTCTGGTTAGTTTTTCAAAGTAATTATAGGTTTATTTGTTTAATTTTTGCCATGGAGCAACACTAACAAAATGGACTGAGGAAACTGCTCATTTCCTGCTGGTACCAAGCTCTGTGTCCAGTGCTCAGCACTCTCCATTGAGGCTTGGTAGGATTTCACGTTGTGCTGACTGTGCAGAAACACCCACTAAAAGCACTCCAGCGAGCAAATCGATGACCTCACTCAGTGTTTGTGGACTATGGGGAAGCCATTAAAACATTCACATATTCATGTATTGTTGCTCCCATCTCATTTGCATTTTTTTGTCAACAGAACAAGGAATCATTCTTCACAGGTAGCAATGCTCCAATTAAATGTTAAACATGGGCCTTGACAACACTTCCAGACCTCTTGCAGCTGATCATTGGGTGTTGCTTAGTGAAGGGTCCAGAGACAACAAGCCTGAGATGCTCCTGCTTCAGTGGCACAGCAGTGGTCCTAACGGATTTTTGGGGGTTGATTAAATCCTGAAAAACTTGCTTTATTTTTCTCATTCAACCCTAAGCACAAAGCTTTCCCATATGAAATCTCACCAGCTTGACTGTTCTGCATCTGGAGAGCAGCCACCACTGGATGCTCCCAAAGATGGTAGAAACAGTCAAATAAACCGGCTGTGATGTGTTTCTTCCATTTATTTACCAGACAGTTAGTAGTTAGCATATATTCCAAGCCTGAAGATTCACATCCTGTACTACAGTTTTGCCCTAACATTGTTGTCATAATCATTCCTGTAGTTTCCAAATCCACCATCACTCCGGTTATACCTTTGGCCTGAACTGGGAGGTGTGGGCTGTTCCTTCCTGGACCATAGCATGAAAATGCATCTCCCTCCTGCATGGCTCTTGGGCTCTTCTGGCACTGCTGCTTCCTGTGTTTTTCCATATGGTTTTCTCTGGAAAGGAAGAAGTCTGGATAAACCTAGAAGTTGACACTATTGTTTTTATTGAGCAAGTTCTGTACTGACTGCAGTGGGAGATTCGTCCTTACTCCAAGTTTAGGCTATTTGACTTGTTCCTCAGTCCTTCCAAGCAGTAACGGAGATAATAAATGAAGGTACCAGCTCTGGGCAGCATTATTGGTCTGGGTCGGTAGATGAAAGTGGCAGAGTAGCTGAGCAGAACTGAGATGACATTGAAGACTGCCTGATCACCCTACCAGGCACATCACTATCACAATCTCCTTGCTCAGGTGTTTCTCCCCTCCCACAGATCCAGCACATATGCTCTTGATACCGCAGTGGAGCGTAAAATCTTGCCAAAACCGAAGCCAAGACCTCCTGTCCCGCTGCCTGCATCACACAAGGTAGTATAGGCACAGCCTCTGCACTTTGTTTTGTTATTCCTCGGACCTTCACGCAGTCTGTACCTACTGGCAGGGGCTCCACAGCCTGCCTGCCCTGGTGTCTGTGCTCAGTAAAACACGTATCCAGTCTTGCCGGTCTATATACACTGATAGGGTTTGTTTCCCATTCAGAGATCCAGTATACACGATGTCTCTTCCTCAGAGAGTGACACTGGAACAAGTCGGTTTGTGGCTGCAACAAACAGCTTGCATTTGTCTAGAAAAGGTAAGGTTTTTGTTCAGAGAGCCACTCGTGGTTTTGTTCCACAGCATTAAACACCAGGAGACAAGATGCTTTTCTGTGTGTGTATAAGTGAGTAACAAAGAATTTCTTACCTTGGCATGTAAGAATGGGCTGCCAAGATTTGTGTGAATTATGCCCAAGGCACCAGGGACCAAGAAAAGAAAAATCCGATGACTAAAACTTCTCCTGGCTCTCAGTACGTTTTAAACCAAGTGCTTGGCTCACAACTCCTTAATCCACAGATCCAAGTTACCTTCCCTTTCCTGCCTTGAATGTACAGTGTATTTTTGGTACATAGCAAATAGCCAGTATGAAAGCTGTCAGACTGCAAGCAAAGCTGTAAACAAATCCCCAACTCACAGCAGCAATTTAGAGCTCCGTGGATTTTTTCCGTGTCCTGTTGCAGAAGGAATGAGTAGGGTTTTCAGGGCTTTCTTCGGATGGAAGGGGGCTTGCTAGAGTCTGAAACTGGGGAAGAATTAGGAACGTATTGATGGTTTCTGGAAACTCTCCCTGGCTTCCCTTGGAGAAGCTGCAGCCCAGACATTCCTGGGAAATAGGATGTGATGTGGTAGGACAGGCTGTGAGCATTTGTTGTTGTTGTAGGTCATGGAGTATCTCCGCTGCCCACCAAGCTTTTCGAGGATGCTGTGCCTCAGCCCAGCAGTGCGGCCGGAGGAGAAGCTGTTGATGGGGCCGCTGGCACTACAGTGGGGCCAAAAACTCCCCCTGAAGAAACTTACGCTCCCAGCAAGATACCAGTTAAGAGGAAACCGAGCAGAACTTTCCCCAGATCCGAGCAGTTTGTGAATCACGTGGGGCCAGCAGAGAACAGCTTCGCGAAGAGGGAGCTGCTGGCAAGCCCCAAACCACCGAGCGTGGCGGGGGAAAGCAGCCAGGCTGGGAAGCAAGGCGTGAACTATACAATCTCATCGATGAGTAACAAAGAGGAGGATATCGGCCTCGATCGTGAACACTTCAAGAACCTGAAGAACTTCTGGGAGAAGGGAGCGGACTCTGCGATGGTGGGAAGCATGCCAGAGGACCCGAGCCGGGTGGAGGCAGATGGCAGGCAGTTCAAGCTGTGCCGCTCGCTCTCTGTGCAGTCTGGGCAAGGCCAGAACAGCGAAGGAAAACCTGGCGTCTTCACCAAACCAAGAACCCCCTACAAAAGGACAATAGCCTTGTCTTCTAGTGAGGAAGAACCAAGCTATGTAGCCCCTGCAAGGAAGGGCTCCGTTTCCATCGTTCCTAGATCCACATATGCCAAGAGCAAAGGTGGCCTGGTTACAAGAAATAACTCGCAGAGTGAAAGCAACGGGAAGCTGCCGGTGGCAGAGGAAGAGAAGGCGGCACAGCGCTGCTCCAAGAAATCCAGATTGCCTGTGCGAGCGCCTTCCATCACGATCGAGTCGCCGACCAAAGAAGTGTCTGGCAGCACGTTGGAGCCAGAGACGCCTACAGACGAGTTGGTCGTGGCAGAGGAGCGCAAGCACGCAGCAAAGTCCCTGGTGAGCAGGGTGCAGATACTGATCGAGCCTGTGCTTACAGATGGTGAAAACGATGATGAGAAAGAGGAAAGATCCGATGTGGGCACTCGTGGCAACATGGAACTAAATGGAGACCTACCTGAGGAAAAACCGTGTGAATCTTCAGCCAAGCCAACACCCGATGAACCAGCTGGAGAGAGAGAAGCCGTTCAGGGAACGGATTCAGCTGTTTACTCAGGTACTGAGGGCTGCAACTGCACCCTGTGAAATCCCAATACAGTCATCCCTAAGCCTGTTTTCTTCCCTTCTGCATTTCGCACGTTTTCTTCACCTCTCCAGTTATCCTGTATTGCAATTTGTGCAGTGGTAGCATGTGTGGAATGTGTTTAGCTCTGGAAACAAATCCTGTGTAGCGCAGTGCGTGTGTCAAAGGGGGCAGTGCCATGTTCCTTTGCCTTCCTCCCTACTACCAGCCCTTGTGCTCCACCTGCAAGCCCCTCAGCTTGGGACAGCCCTCCATTTATTTAATGCTACCTACAGCGGGTCGTGGGAACTTGTTTTATTCCACTCCTTGGGAAGACTGTACTTTCTTCAAATGTGGGGCTGGGGGAGTTCTTTGTGGTGGTAGAGATAAGTCTGACACAAATAAAAGAAATGTGAAACAAAATGTTTAATAAATACGTGGGCTGTTAGGCTACCTTGTTATAGCAGCTGGCTGTCAGTGTTTAAATGACATTTTGGGTCTTTTGGGAAGCCACAAGTGAATTTGGATATTAAACTGCAACCAGAGTGAACTGAACAAGTAGTCTGATCTTTCTGGGTTCTGATACCGTGTTCTCAACCACGATGGTGTCAACAGTATCACCACTTTGTCATGGTTTGACAGGCTCTTGTAGTGACTGTTAATATGAGCAGAAGTTTTTGTTGATTACAATTAATTTTACATGTGGGCTCTGATTGCCCACAGCTCCGCTGTCTGCCGAGCAAAGACCTAGGAAGAGAAAGCTTGTTATCCTCTTTTTTCCGAATTTCTGTTCCGCATGTACCTGGATAAGACCTATTTGAGAGGATCTTCCATAGACTTACCCAATTTTGATTTTTAACTGTGTCGTTTCTTGGCTTATTTCCTACCTCTTAAGATTTTCATGGAAATGTTGTGAGTTGCACTTCAGGTAAACATAAATGTTTCCTTTCTGTACCAGATAATCTATTTTTCAGTTTTTTTGCCTTATTATCACATTCAGGATGATATTAGCAGATGGCTGTGTTGCACTGGAAGCTCTTTGCACATGCTAGGTTGTTTGAAGGATTGAGTTAATCCAGTGTTTACATTTCCCATCATATTGTGAAGAGTTTTTCTTGGGGAGAGAGATCAAAGCGCACTGATGGATTGAAAGCAGCCCTGCGTAATGTAACGGCGGTGTGCCCTCAGCAGAGGGAACAGGCCAGGAGAGGCACATGCCTGCCTGTTGACACACTGCCCGTTTGTGTTTATTTATTTACCCTGTTGCTTTGGCTTTTCATGTATTCCAGAGGAAGATGGGGATCATTCTCCTGCCGCTCAGGCATTGGCCCGAGCAAATAGCACTAATCTTGCAAAGAGCATGGTGAACATTTACACAACCACAGAGAGTGAGTAACATCTTTCTTCTCCTTTTTGGTTTACGTTCCCTGGAGGTAATATATTATGCCTGAGTTCTGCATCCCTGGTGCTTCTGTGCATGTACTAGGCAAGGAAAATGACATATTGTTTCATCATCGAATTAGAGAGCTTATAGTGCCTAAAATTCAATTCAGAGCCAGGAAATTGCAGCTAGATTGATGGTATCTTACCCGGTGTCTTCAGCAAAAAACCCAGGCGTTGGCAAGAAGCTTGTACCCGTCTCTCGTCTTCTCCCACTGAGCACTGTGGGAGGTGCGTGGCAGCCTGTGTGATCAAGAGGTGCCAGACCTTTGATCCAGTGTGCCAGTCGTGCCACAGACCCCTGTCACGTGCTCACTGGGTTTGCAGTGCCCAGCCTGGGCCTCTCACCTCACCCACAACAGACCCTGAAACTGCCCCGTGGTAGTTTCTCCCTGAGAAACCAAGAGGAGCTAAGGAGAAGGCAACCAGGAAGGCAGCAGCGAAGGTAAAGAAGCCCATAGCCAAGAAATCTGTCCGTGCCGCTAAGAATCCTAAGAAAGCTGCAGCTGAGGAAGGGGGCCTGAAGGAAGGCAGCAGCAGCCTCTGTGGCCCCGAAAGTCAGTAGAAGTTGCCAGAACATGAAAACTGGCTGGCCTGAGAGGACAGCTAAGTGCTTACATGAAAACAAAGGCCAAGGCGGCCAGGACTGAGGCGAGAAGGCTGGGAAGGCAATGCCCAAGGAAGGATAAAGCCGCTTAGAGGAGACGATCAGGTTTAAGTAAACCCAACCCCTGGGTATGGGAGGGAAGAGAGTTCCCCCTTGGGCTGTGTGGAAGGCAGCCTGTGAGTGGGACGTGCTGCGTCGCCCTGCGGCTGTGCCCACCCCATCCGGTAGCCCCGTGCTGAGTGCGTGTCCCTCCGTATGGTGCGGCAGTGTATGTCACATGGCACGGTGGCTTGAAGCTTCAGGTCACGCATGCATTGCCGTCCTGTGACATGGTCTTCACACTGATGGCCAAGATTTTAGCCTCCCTTTATTAAAGCTTAATTGAAACTGTAGGTATATTTTGCAGCTCTTGTACAGGGCAGTATGCTGTGAGTGAAAATATGAGTATGTTTGGTTTCTTTGACAAGAAGACAGATCTGTATGGTTTTAGTCTAAATTAAATCTACACAGAGAACGTGGTGCATGCAGGATACGCATCCTTAGGCTAGTGAGTGAATGAAATTAGTCACTAGAGGGAGTTTGCACACTCCCACATTGAAAGCAAGGACAACGAAAACAGGTTTAAGGCGTTAACTAGCAGGTTTTGGCTTGGGGAGAGTCAGCTTCAATAGCAGATGACAGAGATTGGGCAAGTGGGTGGCATTGTGGTACCTCCCACAAGCCTTTCCTCTTTCCTGTGCCTTTAAACAAAAATGTCTTATATTTTCCTGACTCTGACAAGGTATCTTGATGCCTTTTTTGTTTGTATCTACAGCATACAATAAACCTCATTTGATACCACATCAGTTTCTTGAACCTGAAAGAGTCAAAGAGCTGAGCAGATCCTCTCCTCTCCTGTTGTCGGAGGTAGGCTAGATGCCAGAAATGGCTGGAATAATGTTCCCAGCATCCCCTGAATGGCAGTCAGTTTCATGAGAATGTTTCTCCCGGACACTGACAGCACTTGCTCTAGAACATGCCTTGGTTATGTCATAAATAAATGAGAAAAAAATTAAGAAAAAAAGTTCCCCGTAACCCAGACTCACCCTTCTATCCTGGAGGAGTTTTAGTGTTTCCCGCTGTCTCCAAGCACACTATTCCGTGCCCTCCCCGAGAGCCAGGGCGGTTGCATGCAGCTCTGTTTGGAGGCAGTTAATGATGACGTTTTCTGCCGGTCGGAGGGAATGCCTCTGGGGAGACTCCCTGTGCTCTCCTCCACTCTCCTAACCCGATCGCTGCTTAATGGGGCTCTGCTGAGCTATTGGCTTTGCTCTGTACTGTTGCAAAGTGCTCATACGGCTGAGCTTAAAGATGCTTCTTGTTTTCTGAGCAGACCGAATCAGACACGGCTTCGGAAATCAGCTTCCAGTTTAACAAGCACAAAAAGACGCCTAGCATTGGCAGCCACTCGTCCGACATGGCATCTGTCTCCTCGGTAGGTATTTAACGCGTACATCTTGCTAGATAGAGTTTCTCAGTCGGATGCGGTCATGCTGCATTTAGGCTAATACGGATGGTGTAGCCTCTGGAGCATCCCGTTGGTTTCTGCGTGGTACATCGTTAAAAGAGCGGTGACGGCTAATTACTGACTTGTGTTAAAGGAGTGTCTTCAGGTACCATCTCAAATTAGAGACCCGCTGGCTCATTGTTAGATGAATTCACAGCAAGCCATAGCCCCTGCTCTGAAGTGTGGGTGCTCGGAAGCCTGGCAGCATGGGGGGTGTGTGTGTGTGTGTGCACGTGTTTTTTCTAGCTGGGGAAATGAGACACACAGCTGTTCAGTGACATATTGGTGGTCCAGCTGGGAGAGAGCTGGGACTGCAGACAGGTGCCCTCTGCAAGCTCATCCTTCACTTTATCTGCAAATTCGAGGGAACTCAGAGTTGGACAGCAAAAATGTGATTTAGAGCCTCAGCTTCTAAGGAAAACTGAAAAGAGCTGAGTGTGCTTAGTTGAGCATTTTTAAAAGATTCCTTAGAGGCTGCTTAAAAATGCTTGAATTTGCTGGATTACTGTTGTAGGTGTCTCCAAGGTATGTACGTGGGATTTACAGTATATATGTGAAGCAGAGCTGGTAGGGAGAGGTCATGAATGTAGATAAATGTGTTAAAAAACCCTTGACCTTCGGGGCACATGAGTTCTGCTTCTAGTCTGGAGAGTCTGGGAGCGATAAATGAGCCCTTTGTGGCCAAGTCACACAGGGTTTCTTGAAAATCTCTCTCAGGATTTTCTGCTAGGGTGAGTATCCTGATAGGATGGTGAGCGCAGCTCCAAGGACCAAGAGGAGATGTTTAGCAGGTTCTTGTAGCTGGTGATGGAATGACATTCAGAACCAAAGGAAGCAGGGGAAGACAGAGAATTGCTAAATTACTAGGAAAGTTTTCGATAAAAATTCATGACTGTTCCACAGAAAAGTGCCAAGAGGGTTAATTATTTGCTTTGTAAATGGCATTAGCTTTTATACATTATCCCGTCAGGAATCATGAGTGATTGGTGCAATAGAAAATGCTCTCATCTTACTGGAGCTGTGCTTTGATTCTGAAAGATCACTTTCTACCTGTGACAGAAAAAGCCTTGAAAAGAGAAGCCCAAGGCCTCTGGGCAAATGCAGTTCATTCTGGGAAAGCAGGTGACCCTTGGGTGCCTGGTTCATGATTTATACCTGTAAAAACATCATTTTGCTGTGCCTTAGTGGCAAGTAGATGCCCACAGGCTGTGTCTGGTGGGACAGTGTCCCTTCAGGACAGGGGTTATATCTCTTTCTGTTCTGCACAGCTCCATGTACACTGTGAGCAAGCAACAAGATAGTTGTCCTGTATTTCTACTCTGATATGGGTCGTAATAGCCTATTTTTAAACTTGATTGGCAATTGTGTGACTGCATCTACCAGGAATAACAAGTTCATGTACAGACAGCTAATGTTCTCTCAATATATTTCTTTCTTAGGGATGAGACTGGGTCAAGATAGCTACTGTTTGTACTGTAAGGCCTGGGAAAGGGAAGAGACTTGTGTGTGTGTCCCACTAATATTTGACTCCATTTTCCAAAGTTTTGGGATTTAGAGGTGAAAAATCTTCTGCATTTACTGAGTATTCAGGAGAACAGTGCTTCGAAGTCCTGGTCTAGGTTAGCACATCTTTGTGAGACCCTTATTCAGGTTCCCCAACCCTTGCTGTGAGCACGGCTGCAGATGTGTACCATTTCTGTGTCAAGGACACAATACCACCCAAGGATGCAACCTGCACATTATTTCTCTGGGAATGCCCTTTTCAAACTGTCGTCTTTGTCCAGAAAGTCAGGAGGGTGCCTATTTCCTTGGCACTGACCTTGCTCTTCCACCTGGCAGGTGAGTGGCAGTGTGCTCAGTGTCTACAGTGGCGATTTTGGGAGTGTGGATGCCCAAGGTACCGTGGAGTTTGCTCTAGACTATGACGAGAAGAACCGGGAGTTCCAGGTTCATGTGTCCCAGTGCAAGGACTTGGCTGTCGTGGATGAGAAGAAAGGCAGATCAGACCCGTGAGTGGCACTTTTCGTGCCTTGTGACTTCTACATTGCTGAATTTTGTGTTCTGGGAGAATTTCTTGCCTTATGTTTTCTCTTTTCAAATGTCATGGTGTCTTTCTTCTTTCAGACTTCTGGTAATGCTTACTGCTGGGACTTTCCTAGCTGGTGGTTCTGGAGGCATTGGCATCAGTAAATATGTTGCCACAGACTTAAATTTGAACAGACTGAGAAAGCTTTGATCACTACAAAGGCAGTTCCTCTATCACTGGAATGTGTTCTCTCTGCGTCCATGTGAACCTTGATCTCCCCGTGGTGAATACTCTTTGGTGATAACTCCGGTGATGCAGACATGCATCTGTATGACAAGGAAGTCCGTAAGGAAGTGCTGTTAGGGGCACAGTGGTAGTTGTACAGAGGTTAATGATCTCTGGTTTGAAAGATGGAAAAAAGGAACTTGGATTTGAACCCTGAGAGAGAGAATTAAAGACGTTCCACCTCTTTCCTCCTCCCTGTTTTCACCCTGATTTTGAATGCACAGAGATGCTATAGTTAATGGGCATTTCAGAAAATGGATATATGGCCTTGCTGGCTTCCCATATTCCCTAGACAGCTGCCTGTTCTGAGCGTTGGTGTCATCCACCTATCTCCAGTGAGATTTATAACTGCACGTGCAAACCAAGTTAATATCCTAGCAGGGCTCTTAATTAGTTTTGCCTCCAAAGAGTCAACTACAACTCTTTTGTTCCCATGTCACCATTCACAAGTCTTGTCTTCTTATTAGAGCTTGGCAATATGCAACAATATCCATCTGGAGTTTCTTTTCCAGGTATGTTAAAACTTACCTGCTCCCAGACAAGGCTAGAATGGGTAAGAGGAAAACTTCAGTGAAGAAGAGGACAGTGAATCCCATTTACAATGAGGTGTTACGGGTAAGAATAAATACATGCTCTGAAACCCTGTGTTGTAGCAGGCACCCGGACCAGGCCAGGTCTGGACAGATCCTGCCGCCTTGGCCAGACTTCTTCACCTGCCTCCTGCCGACGTTGCACTGCTCTTCCCTTGGGTTTGTGAGCACACAGATGGTAAAGGTTTCTCTGCACCCATCTGTGTGGCACCCAAGATTTCTCTGTCAAAACCACATAGTGATCCTTGGATGAGATTGGGACCTGCAGCCTGTGCTGCCTTCAGCCAGAGCAAGGGGTGTTCTGCCCTTCCCTGGCCCACAGTCAAGAGGCAAGGGATTAGTAGGGAAGGTCCTTGTTATGTGATCTTACTCATCAGAGCCTAGAGGATTATTTAATAATGCCTGGGCTGTATTAATAAATCTTGAAAGAATATTGGGTTTGCCCTGTGATGAGTAGAGCACTCGCTTCCACTGTGCTCAGCAGTAAAGCTTTGTCAAGGGTAGTAGTATTGCTGCAGGATAAAAAAAGAGATGTTCAGAGTGGGGCCAGTCCGTTAGTGCATGTGTATCTCAGTCAGAGTTTATTCAAGCTTTTGAGTAGTTTATTTCCAACTGGGGAAAAACAAACAAACAAACAAAAAACAGAAGAAGAATTTGAACAACCTGACTTCTCTTTCTTCCTCTAGTATAAAATAGAGAAAATGGTATTGCTGATCCAAAAATTAAATCTCTCTGTTTGGCACAATGACCCACTGGGACGTAACAGTTTCTTGGGAGAGATCGAAATAGACTTGGCCAGCTGGGACTGGAGCAACAGGAAACTCAACTGGTACCCACTGAAGCCCCGAGTAAGTGCATCTCTGCTGCAATCCTGCTTCCTGCAGCCTTTAGGGGTGGCAGAAGTCCTTCCCAACTCCCCCTGAGGTCTTTGGGTGGTGTGGTGGAGCAGAACAGCCTGAATTGTACCTAGGGAATTGCAGTAAAACATCCTCTAACCCCGGATATGTTAGTAGAGTATTCAGCGCTCTGAACACGAGACCTTCTCAGGCCTAATTTGGTGATGGATCAGTAGGGACACATTCATAAATGTGATCTGACACTAATCAACAGAAACTCTGACGTGACTTCGCCTCTCTCTCCTTGCATAAAGACAATCCCTTAAAAACCAACAGCAGAGTACTAGGTGATGCAGTTGAACATGCCTTGAGGGGTAAATATTCAGGTGCCACTTTTGTAAAGCCTGCACAGCTTCATGCATGCTTCCGGGTTCAGAGGTCTGATTTGAGATCCCTTTGCAGAAAATAAAGTCTTTTGGAACTAAGATGCCTTATTATATCCATCTGGCCATGTCTGGAAGGGCAGCCTTGCTCTGAATCCTCAGGATATTGCTTCTGAGCTTGAGAACAATGCTACAAAGAAAGGAGCTGCCCTGAGAAGAGGCTGCCTCAGCCACACAGAGTCAGAGTTTGCCCATTTGTCCTCCTTTACTGAACTCAAAAGCTGTTTGTCTTTATGTTTACACAAACACTTGTTTAGTCAATCATAAATCTTTTCTGTTTCAGAGCCTTTCTGCTGTTAACGGTGTGGATCATCGAGGAGTGATGAATTTGTCCATTAAATATGTCCCTCCAGGAAGCCTAGGTAAAATGTGTTTCATGCATTAAGAAGTCTTGCTCATGTGCAGGCATGCAGCTTGTGGTGCCTCATCTGTTTAAGGGCTGGCTAAAGACTAACCTCATTGGAGCAAGATCTTGGAGATCAGCACAAAGGCACAACCAGCAGTGCTTGTTAGCGCTGTCTGCAGCCTACCTCTGATTTTCACATCTGGATTTATTGGAAAGGTGCTGGGGAGAGAGTTTGGCGTTGAGCCCTTCCTCATCAGCTGTTATGAGCACTGTGGGCACTGTAGGGTGCTGTGGTGTGGTAGAAGCAACACACAGCCCCTCTAACTGTGGAGCAGGCATAAGGTTGGGTTTGCCCAGCAGTTCCTTCTCCTTTCCTGTTTCAGAGCAGCACTGGCGCGTTGTGTCAGGACCCCTCTGCAGCTGCAAGTGTGGTGGGGCTGGTGGTAGTCCCATGGCACCCAGGCAGGGGGGTGCAGGGTACTCGAAAAAGTCGTGTTGCTGCTCCCTCAGGTCCCTGGAGAGGAGGAAGCCTGTCATTTTGCTAGCTGTTGTAAGGATTGGGGCAACAGTTTTTCTCTCCTAAATGGCAGGTCCCAAAAATCCTTCCTCTGGCGAAGTTCACATTTGGGTCAAAGATGTCAAGGACCTGCTGCAGTTGCGTCCTTCTGGAGTTGACTCCTTTGTGAAATGGTAAGTGCATGAGCACGGTCCTGGCTTTGATCCTGGGTCTGTGCCTCCACAGGTTTCTTCTCCTTTCTCAGGCGCTGTGCCTCCTGCCCTAAAGCCTTCCTGTGGCTTTGGGCTCTGTAGGGGACAATTGCCCTTGTTATTCACTTGTGGCCAAATTAAGAAAATCCTTGCTGTGATAAAGCTCTTGGTCAATCACTGTCTGTGTCTCACTCAGTGATGTCCCTCAGTAATATCTGAGTGAAAGGATTACGTAGGCCCTGCACCTCCGCCCATGTGAAGCTGTGAATTTTGCCTTGGTACGGGCTTGTATGCCAAGTCTGGGAGTTTGTTAGGGACTCCCTAGAACTGACCTACAGACAGTTGCATCCCACTTTGATCTTCCCCAGAATTTAGTACGTGCATGTTTTCTGCAGCCTGCAACATCAGTTCTGTTATATAGGAAAAGGTGCTGCAAATATTCCAGAAAATGAAAAGTATTTTAAGGGGATTTTAAGGTTTTCTCAGTGCTTTGAAGTGCTCACCATGTTTTTTTGTATATTTTAAATCCTTGTGGAGTTCTGAAGAAAGGTTTGGTGTTCAAAAGCCTAACCGACCATTTTGAAATGCCCTTATGAATCTAAGTGATGAAAATTTGTGAAAATACGTGAAAGTAATGCCCATTTTTAATGTAAAATGTCAGTTTGCAAAAAAAATTTGCCAAAAAAGCAGGCAAAAGGAGGAAATTTTAAGCAAGTACCCTCCTTTCTGAAAATGTTCACTTTTAAAATGGATTTCTTGGCCAAAAAAAAAAAAATTCCTTGAGGAATTATGAACATGACCATTAAATCTACAGAGATTTCTTATGTTGAGACCCAATTCCTCCGTTCTTCAGAACTGAGGCTTGTTTAGACCAAGGTACTTTGTCAGAACAACTCAAATCTCAGGTGACAAGCTGTGTTTTCCCTCCGCTCAAAGCTATGTGCTTCCGGACACCAGTAAGAAGAGTTACCAAAAGACCCGAGTCATAAAACGAGACACGAACCCTGTTTTCAATCACACAATCGTGTATGATGGCTTTCATACGGAGGATCTGAAGGATGCTTGTGTTGAACTGACGGTGTGGGATCATGAAAAACTGACCAACCATTTCCTTGGAGGAATCCGGCTGGGCCTCGGCACAGGTAGGTGATTTCCTTTACGCTGAAGGAATGCTGTTACCATATTGCTCAGCCAAGATAATAATGGGAAGTTGCAGAGCGTTTTCCTGTTGGATAGAAACCAGGGATGAGGAGTCTCCATACCTGGTGAGAGTCTTGGTACTTGCACTGTGTCTGGGATGGAGGGAGCCCTGGTACCATGATAGCAACCCTGTGTTCCCACATTTTCTGCCAACATCAGCTCTGAGGTCTGGCAAAACTCAAGGATCTCCTTGGGTCCATCAGAGAGTTTTCCTGCTTTTCCAGGAAAAGAGACTGTGTTACAAATCCCCATTATATTGCTACTTCTCCCAGGGAAGAGTGCTCGGAGATGAAGAGAGCTTGCATGCCATGTGGGACAGCACCATCTGGTGACTCCGTCCACATCACCTCCTCTCTTGAAATGCTTTGGTAGCAGGAATAACTAATATTTGAAAAACAGGGTGTGCTACACTAGTTGATGTGGTAGGGGATCCGTGCTGAGAGTGCATTAGCTGGAATTAAATCACAGATTGCAAGAATGGAGTTGTCTGGGTGTAGACTAAAGTGTTATTGTTGAGGGGTTTGTTTTGTTTTCATTTAGATGATGTAATGCTGAAAGACCTCAGCAGAGCTGCCGTTGGCTCCACTGAGAGAGCTAGTGCTCCCCGTTGCTCGGAGTCGATGTCTCTGGCAGGTGATGGCGTGAGATTCCAGTTCAGAGAAGGGCTTAGACCTTAGGAGTTGTTTGGGGTGCAGCTTGCTGAGGGGAAGCCAGCACCTTTTATGTTGTTACATCCCATTGAGTATTTTTTCATGGAGTAGAAACTCTCTGTGTAGCTCCCAATGTTGTAGCTTTCTTGCTCTTTACAGGTTTGAGCTACGGCATCTCCGTGGACTGGATGGACTCCACGCAAGAGGAGGTGGCCTTTTGGCAGGAGATGATGGCGGCTGCCAATGAATGGATTGAGGGATTGTTGCCACTGCGCTCGCTGGCAGGGAGGAAAAAACTGAAATAACCTCCCATTTGTGCCATAGAAAGGCTGAATGTGGTCTTTAGAATTAGGAAACTTCCTGCACTGAGTCGATAGAGACCATCCACGGGGCTGGAGAGTGTCAGGTTAGTAAGGGATTGGTGGACAGCACTTTGGAGATGTTAGCTGTTAAGTACTAATTAATTCCCTGACAGAGGAAATGGAAGATGCCAAACTGATTCTCTACTTCATTTTGACCAAGAAGCAGCTTCATTTGCCTTTTTATTTAATCATTTCTATTCAGTATCTTTGAATTCCGTTAAGCTCTGGGAACATTGGCAGAAGGAAAAGGAGATAAGGATATTTTTAATTTTTTACTCTCTCTTGTGCCATTTTTTTTTCCCCTGTGCAGAGATGTAGTTGTACTAAAGCAGCAGCATGGTATTATTCGTATTCCCCTGCAAGTGGTACACTTTGTACTCGATGGAGGATTGCTCCAAGTCACCAGCAGCACAGTCTTGAGAATGGGAGCTTTGCGTTTGCCGCTGGTGTTAACACGTCTCTCACACGAGGAAAATCGAGTAAAAACGTGAATCTAAAGAGAGGACTGTTTGAAGCAGAAAATGAAGCAACCTGAGGAGAACAATGAGGAATTAAATATATTCATTTCTTTCTGCTTTAATACGAAAGAAGGAAGCGGTGGTCCTGCAGCTAGTGGGATTTTGCAACAAGGGGCTGTTTTCCGAGCTTTCCCACAGGCTTCCTCAGTGACCTCAAGCAAGTTGCTCTATGAAGGGCCAGTTTCAGTGCAATATAAACCAAAGTGCTTGCCCAGATGTAAAATACATCGCTAATGGGCCTCATGGCACCGTTGCAATGCCTGGTGTGCAAAACATTTCAGTAGGAAATAATGACGTAGGAAATGGTCTCGTGTCAGCACAACGTGTCGAGAAAGGAAGGTCAAAGCCACACGGAACGCGGGAGATGTTGGGAGTCGGTGGGAGAGGTAAGTGGGAAGTTAACGAAAGGAAGGTCAAAGCCACACGGAATGCGGGAGATGTTGGGAGTTGGTGGGAGAGGTAAGTGGGGAGTTAAACACAGAGGGTAGCAGCAAAGTCGCCTGGGGTGGTCTCTGGCCTTTGCATAGCCTGCTGCCCCTCCAGCCGTCCTTTCACCTGCGAGTTGTCTGGGCTGGAATTTCCTTTTGGAAGGCAGCTTGCAGGAACTTTGCACCTGGCACGCTGATGGTGGCAGAGTGGCGTTGGGACTGCAGTTTGAAATGCGGCTTTGTAATTCCTATTGCGGATGTACATATTGTGATTAAATAGAATGTTTTTCTTCAGTCACCAACTGGTCTCCTTGTATCTGTTTTTAGCATGGTCAGAGTAACAAAAAAAGAAACAAAAGAGTTGTTAAATGTTGTCATGTCAAAGCGAACCAGTTTTGCCCAAGGGCAAGTGAAATGTCATGGAGAAATATTTTTTGTAGCTCTCCTACCCTAGATTTTGGCTCTGAATATATTTATATTCTTCTTTAATGTATTGATTTAACTCAAGCTCAGCGTAAATTTTCAGCTTAGCAAAGATGGTTGTAAATAAATTAATGGAAAAGGGTACACTTAAAATAACGAGACTTTTTCTTGAAATTAAGACATTTGGGAGATAATCAGCAGCTTTCATGGGAAAAAAAATAAATGAAGATTTTTGCAATTGGAAAAATATAATACTTGGAAATATACCAGTCATAGTACTGAAAGCACTCAGAGTCTGTAAAGCAGCAGAATTAATTAATGACTATCTAACGAAGGAGCTGATATCTATGGCACATCAGCCCAAGGATACGTTGTATGGGCTCCAGCCTGGCACGTTTTGTTCACCAAGGTTTGGTCATTTATTGCCTTTGTGGGGTAAAAATAGCAATATTGGGCCTAAGATGAGAGTTTTTAAACTATTATCTTTACCTGTTTAGGTGCAGAACATGTGAATATTTATGCATACCTATAACAACTACTGTGAGCAGCCCTGCTCACCAGAGCGGTGGCTTATTGCAGGGAGGTCACCCGCAAGACTGCTGCTCTCACCCTGACTGCTTCCTTATCCCACAAGGTGCTCCAGGAGGGAAATTCTGCTGAGGCTGCGAGCGTGGTTGGCAACACTGGGGCCCTCGGCTCAGGCAGGTCCCCGTCTCTTCCTGGGGAGTTCAGCTGACTTCTCTCCATCGCAAAAAACGAGTCATCCCGCCTCCTTCTCCTCCTTTTCCTCCTCCTCCTCCCCACGTGCAGTATTAGCACACGCGGTGGTGACGCTGTTGCCCAAACTGCTCTTCGTCAGTGGAGCCGGGGATGTTTGTGGGGCTGTTTCAGAAAATCAGCATCTATTGCATGGGTGGTGCCAGTAAGGGGAGAAAAGGAGGCTCAGTGGGCTGGTCTCGTACCAGCGTGGTTGCTTTCATGAACTTGACCTGGGACTTTGTGACCAGGTTATTTTTGCATTCAGATTCCATTGAGGATTTTTTGTTAATCTTTTGGTGGCTTGTTTATTTAAATTAAGCCCTGATTAACTTAAGAAGCTTTCTTTGGCATTTAACAGTTTATCAGAGTAAAAGATTACGCTGCCAAACCACACGCCCACTTGTAGCACAGCTTTGTCTGAGGTAGTAAAATTTGCGGTATCTGTTTCACTTAACTGCACAGAAAGCGCTTTATCAGGAAAAGGATTTAAGGCACTTTTATTGTCAGTGTCATGTGGAGGAGCTTGTGCGTGTAAGTGTAACGACCTGTTTGTGTGTGGCTTACGATGTTGACGCTGTTACGTGCAGTATTCACAGACAAGGGACTTGGGCCCGTACTGTTACGTGCAGTATTCACAGACAACAAGGGACTTGGGCCTGTAGGCATGTGCTGGTGATAACATGGGCTGGGGAGTAACTCGTTAAAAAGAAGAAAAGCCAGATGGAAAGTTTTCTGACCGTACTAGTTCACTGTAGAATGGGTTAAGCAGAGATCCATGAGAAGGTAAGACTGCATGCATATAGTAAACATGGTTTGTGTCTCATTTCCCACAATACAAGCATGCAGGTACCCCAAGGCAGTGTCAGCTCCCTGTGGTCACTAAGCTCTTGCTGGATACAGAAGTGACCCCAGGGACGGAGCAGGCCCGTGGAACGCTAGGTTACAGGCTGGGACCCTTAGGGGCTGTCCTTTTGATATAAAACACAAACCTCAGTATCTACAGTAGAGCTGGGCAACTGCTTCCCATGAGTGTTCTGCGTTAGAGAGTGAATGTGCGTCCTTTGAGTTTCTGCCCTGTTGGTGTAACTTTTTCTGGAGAACCTTACAAGCAGAAAAAAAAAAGGAGAGGAAGCAGGAGTCTCGAACGTATTTCTGCCCCACCAGGTAAATCTAATCTGTGGCCTATGTCCGTTCACCACTGTTCATATTGCAGGAACTGGGAACTATGGAAAATGGCTTAGAAGCTAGCTAAAGAAGAGAAGGAATTGTTGAATCTTGAACAACATCAAGTGAATGAGTGTCTCCGAGGAGACAGAAAAGAAGTGGTTGAATTAATTATCCATTACTAAATATTTGCTCAGCTTTATCCTTCACCAAGACAGAAAAAAAAAATTGAAGTACTATGGAGATCTGGGGATAAAGCTGTGCTGGCTGTTACCCCGTGTAATAACATGAGCTATTGAAATACGAGATGCTGTATTTTTGCAGGCCTCTTAAGTCAAAAAATGTATCAAATAGACTGGTATATCAAAAACTGAATAAATAAACACACCAGTTCCTGATAATGAGCATATTCAGCACCAGGTTTGGTTGCTTGTTTCGGTTGGCTGTTTTGTACTTTCACCTTTCATGGCTTAATCCTTTTTCTTTTCCAACTGCTTACTTCCCACCCCTCAGGTGTCCCTGTTAAAATGGATGCCCAGGAGGAGATGTCCCTCGGAGCGCTGCCACAGCGGTTGGTGGAAGACGTTGGGAAGCACCACACCAAAGCATGTTTGCAGAGACATGCTGTAAGGTATGTGTCACTGGAGCTGTGCTGCTCCCAGAGCGTCGCTGCTGGGCAAGATCCCACTCACCTGCAGAAAGCTCTTGAAACAGAAACCCCTTCCCATGCGATCAGCCAGGAGCAGCCACTTTTTCCCAGTAGCTGCAGTTTTTAGGAAGCCATCCTGCTAGTTATTAACAATCTGAAGTAGCTCTTGAGCTGTAAGAAGCAGTCTGAGCTCTGGACTTGGAGGGGAAGCGAGGGAGCTGTTTTCTGGCAATGTAAGCAGCTCAGGCACCCACTCTGTAGGAAGAAAAATCACAATAACCTCTTTTCCTCTCCTCCTCTCTCTCCCCCTCACCATTACTAATTTATCCTGATTGTAATGGTGTCTATTTGCTCTAAGCAGATCCTGTTCCCTTCCTGGGAAGACCTGAACAGCTATAAGGACATAATATTCCCACTGGAGGATCTGTTCTTGGATTCAGGCAGATGCAGGCAGATAAACTGATCTCTTGATGGGACCCCCCCTTTTTCATCTTGCCAACACATGGCCATTTTAATGTGACCATAATCTGAAATAAGATACTGGGAGCTACATCTGGAGTAAGCCACCCCACGGTAACGAGCTGACGTTTCATGTATTGTCACAGGGAAATGCTGTGCAAATGTTTCCCGCCTCTTCAGAAACCCAGCTGACTCTTGCTCCGTGCTCGAGACGGTGGGGCTGGAGGCTGTGTCGCGTGGGTGCTGTGTGGCACCAGAGTGGCCCTGCCACTTTTGGGGATGCAGGGACAAGCTGCATCCTCCGCACACGTCCACCCATGTGGATCACTGCACGAGAGTTTAATCTTCCCTGTCCGTTCAGGCTGCAGAGCAAATGCTAACCCTGCCCTGGAGCACTGGTGTTGACTCAAAAGGCTGCTCTGTTATTTCTGACGTTTCTCTGCATTTGCATCTCTCCCACATTTTCCCATCGGCACGGATCCTGGCTGGCTTGCAGCCCCGACTCTGTGACGCTGTTAAGCATCTTGGGAGGAGGCAGAGCCT